GTCATACAGACAAGTTGAATTTGCGAAATAATAGATACAATGACTGAATGAATATTAATGAAATCACGAATTTGTAATCTAGTTTCTTGTTAGATGTCATAGATTAAGCGGAATCAGATGTGGTAGCTTCTTTTTAATTATACCTATATTTAGGTACATTAATAGACGATGTAACAAAGTTATTATATTAAATTTTTATTGAATTGATATTTAATTATTTTCTGTGAAATTACTCCACTACTTTGTTATAATTATTAATACAAAGATCGAACGCTCAGAAAAAATTCCTTCGATCCGGTCGGATTCGAACCGACGTCTTCTTGCATACCGTGCCAGACGCTATACCAACTAAGCCACGGAACGAACCAACGGACCTCACGAATTTTTCTATGTGCTTGCGTCGTGTCTTTGTACTTGGTCTTTCAACGACTTTTTAAATTAAAGTTATTATATTTCATCTAGTGACCGTAATCACAGAATACGTAAGAAAAATTATGCTACACGTTTTAACAGATAAAAAATAAAAAATAATCCAAATTTTCCGCATAAATTAATTACGGTGAACAATATTTTTGTATGTAACCAAACATTTAATTTAAAAAGGGACGAACAAGTCGTGCGCCTGGTGGTAAGCGACACACCTATCGATAAAAGCTGCAGTGCCACTCAGAACTTTAAATCACAAAGAACTTAGGGGCACTTTCATTGCGCCCGTCACTGGGACATAAGTTGACAAGTTTTACCCTTCCTAACCGGAACTCAGTAGTACTGTAGTACTCACATTATTTTTTAGCGGTAGAAACAGGTAAGGTGGCAATACGTCTCTGGACGAACTCTTTCACAAGGAGCTCTACTGCTACTATTTTGGGGTACTTCCTAGTCAGAACCAATTAAGAAAAGTTCATTTCCTAAGTTGATCCAACCGGGAATCGAACTCGGGATCTCCTTATCCGGTGCCCACAGTGAAAACCGTTGTGCCATCGAGATCGTCATCAAATTCTAACTCGGAACTCGCCACCTTCAAAAGTTACAAGAACGATGACGAACGACGAAAAGTTACAAATCAGTATTTCGTTTCGGAACTTAAGTGTCGATGTTACTCTAGGTTGAATTAAAATTTTTCCCATATTAAATCGGTTAAAATGTGATTGAAATTTTCTATTTACTAATCCATTACAAAAACTTATATTATTATTTAGGATTAGACTGCTAAGTATGTAATCTATTCACCATATTAATTTTAACTCTCAACTCGTGCGATGGTAATGTACAGTTGAGCCCTCTGATTCGAGTGTAAATTGTACAATCCTACCAAAAGACGTGCATTTGCTGGCAAGAGACGCGCCCACCCGTAGCAGTGTTCTCTCAAAGTTTAAAATCGCCAAAGTCCGAGAAACACTGTCACTGAGCCCGTCACTCTGAGACAAGTTGACAAGCCTCATGTATTTGTGTTTTATCAGCACCATTACCTCTTGGCGACAGAAATAGGTCCCGTGGCTGAATAACCCTGGACGAATCCATTTTCACTTCTAATTTATTTCATACACAATAAATTGAAACTTACTCTTTTATTTCATCACTTAGAGCATAGTACTGTCCTATTGCAGTTTGTGGAATTGGAGGAACAGCCTCTAAATCCCCAGATTTCTCTGCTTTGTACGCAAATACGTATTCCGGTCTCACCCATTTTATTTTCACTGTGTGTTTTATGCCGCGAGACTGTATAATGGTTGAAGTAAGTCTTTTTAACATTAATGTAATATATTATTTTAATGGAATGGACCTAATTTTTTTTTCGTACAGCAATATGGAACCATAGACAAGTCATAGAAGTATAAATGAAAAATAACCTCACTTCTGGACTACCGTTTTTCAAATTCGATTTTACGATGCTATTCTAATGAATATTGTTGGAAAAAGTGGTGAGATATCAAGTCGAAATATTCGAAATATACGTATATACGAATCTATACGAATTTTAACAATACATGTTTGTTTACTTTTTGTTTAAAATGGATTGGAACAGACTATAGTTAATATTAAAAAAAAAATCATTGGTATGTGTAAGGTATCTATTGAATGCAGCGGTTTTCTTATAAAATTTCGAGGTAAGTTTGTGTTCTTTTTTATCGTAAAAATTTTTAGGAATCGTGTTTTCACACCGTAATCAGTGTAAGTATATCCTCAATTTTATAACAATATATTTTGTCATTTTTGATTAATTCAACACTTTCACTGTTATGCGGAATCAAACAAAGCCATTTGAAGTTTTATCGACTCTAAGTAGTGCATTTCCAACTATTCGTATTATCGATTACATTGCTTGACCTGTGGCAGAAATAATATTAAATGAAATCTTCTCATAGTTCATTGAACAAAATAAAAGACTAACGATTTGTCGCTTACGGAATTCTTCTTCATGAGCATCGACAAGTAACAATGTTATTGTTTCCAATGACAATGCTAGTGCTGATCACATTGCAAGATTGAAAATCTAAATATCCGGTTATAGCGTGTCTTCTGAAGGTAATAAAAACAATGGTAGACCGCGCATATCTTGAAGACGTCGGGATTCAAACTTTACAATGGCTGTAGTCCAGATCTTATCCCCGTAGAACACATTTGGGAGAACCTTACAAGACGTGTTAGAGTAGCGTTGCACAATTGTGAATGATTTGCGTATGAATAAATTGGAAAATGGTGGAGCGAAAAGCAAAGAGACTTATTAACAACAATTCTCATGTGGAGCCGAAGCTACAAAATCTCGACCATCGCAGAAACGTAGCCTGCTTGGCGGTTTGCTATCGGATACACCCTCCACCCTCACCGTTCCCCCTTCGGTCGACTAGAAGGTCCGGAACACTCTACCCTTATGTCGTTGATATATCACCTATTCGCACTAAGAGATTTATTTCCTCCTTTCTGATGCGTAAGGCAAAGGAATGGAATACTCCGTTTGTGTTTCCCGAAAATTACACTTTGGGGCTATTCAAAGCTAGAGTGAATAGGCATTTTTTAGGCAAACGCGTCTCATCGTCAATCACATCTTCGCTTAACATCAGGTGAGATCGTGGCAAAGCATGTGTCTATTATATATCAATGTGGTCGCTTAATTGTCCCACGGAAATTAGGTAGTGAACATTAGTCCGAGACTGACCGTTAAAATCCCGGTTTGAATAATGACTGGTCTTTATTAATAATATTTTACAGGGTTACATTTTTTTCCATTGTAAAATGTCAATTATGCTGATTTTGGTTAACAACAAAACTGAAACTAAATAAGATATGAAGAGGAGAATATAACATTTGAAGAGGGTTGTAGATCTCGCTTTGCTGATTCCAGATTATTTAATAACTCAATCTCGCTAAAAATGCCTATTAGGTTGTTTATGATAAGGACAACAGCCACACAGTTTTGTAACCAAATGCTTCCCTGGCGTCCATATTTATTTATTTAAACTTTTTTGCTTGCAATAAAGTACAAATGACGGAAGTTAAAAAAGTAACAAGGCATTTCGTACCGAACGCAAAAAAATTTAGTAATTGAAAAAAAATCTCAACTGATTAAACTTTTCCAGGTTGATCGTTTCCAGAAACGGTAATTTCCAGGTCGGTGTGCGAATATAAGAAACGGACATCTCTTTGGATAAAACAAAATTACATGCAATTTTCAAACTAATAGTAGTTTAATACGAGAAATACAATTGAAACCAAGGAGCACGCAACGTAATGTTTTGTCAAACACGCATGCGTAGTCCCTTCGCTTTCGCTGTCACTACAAAAACAAGGTATGGAACATAGATTTTTTGTTTTTTACATCCATAAATTCTTCAATAATAGTTCATTTCTTTCAGTTTTAATATTGCAATAATAGAAATAGGAACCTCCTTTTGAAGCATAGTAAGTAATAAGAGACTTCGCGCTATAATTATTTGATGATTTCTTTAATTGAACACTATCATAGTAGTTGCAGGGAAGGTTAACGTTACTTAGACGTTAGAGATTAAATGATATTACAAGAAAATAATCAAGAATGAAATAATAGGAAGTAAAGTTGTATCAATGGATTGTTTCTTGTCAATCTTGGTGATATCGATTTTTTGATGATTCGAAATTTAAAAATAGGATCAGAAGGTAGTCGTAAAATTTTTCGTCCTTCGGGACAGATTAAGGCGTCAAAACCAACTGCCAGATCTTCGATTTTAATTTTGGAATCAGACAGAATTGAAGTTTTTTTACCTATGCATCGACAATCATTTATTCTAATCCGTATTGTATTGAACTGTTTTAACAGGTAGAGTTCTTTTTATTTCAATTATTATATTCATATATCAGTAACAACTAAGAAAAGCGTTTGTTATCTGAAATAAAACACAACGAATAAATATTATTAAGTTAATTTAAAATACAATCCAATTGAAGATCTTTTGTAATTTTTATCTTGCTTCAACAGGCAACCCAGTAGTTGCCATTTTTTTTTCTTGTAATACTGAGATCTTGACACCGGCAAATTAGGTATTGCATGTACAATAACGGTTGCTTAGATTACTATTATGAAAGTTCGAATTTTAAAAAATATACACAAGTTGATGAAATCGATCTTTGAGTACAATAAAAACTTTTTATTCTTAGACATGAGTTAGAATAGAATATTTCTTGTTTTTTAAAAGCTAAATATGGCAGTGAATTTAAGAATGATAACTTCTTATGATTTTTTTTGCAATTAGTAAGGAAAATTAAAATTATTCGTAGTCGATCATTATTAAACTTACTTCTTGTGTAATAAAAAATTGATTAAAAAATTAGATATTATACAGTTTTAACAACAATTATTTATGCAATAGATATTTTAAGGGTTTTTGAGCACTAATATAAAAATAAAGTAAATAATATATTCTTGCACATAGATAATGAAATTAGAAGGCAAAGAAAGAGATAAAAACCACAGAATATTGGTAAATAAACACGAAAAACTGCGAGAAGTGCGATATTCTACTCACCAAATTACAAATAAGCGTTTCACCTCCTTTTACTTTCGAACTGAAAAGCACTTCACAAAATATTATTTCAGAAAATATACACGATTTACAAAACGCACAAAAAAAGGAAACTTTTAAAAACAAATCGTAAAAGACAGGTTAAAATTAAAAAGGCGCGCGGCTGTCAAGATATTAAAAATTCGAACGCTTTTCTTTTTATTCTTCTAAAAAAGGCGTCGCTTACGTGCGGTGCGCAAGTCCACACTGCCAGTTAGCGGCCGGCAGATCACTCTCTCTCGATGCTATGATAGAATTATACACCTTGAGACATGGCGGTTCGAAATTGTTTACTTATTTCTAAGGCTTTAATAAGTGCTTAACAAACATTTGCTTTGCAATAATCATGGTTACTTTAGTTTTACGATGTTCTTCGTAACCTTAGCAATGTCGTTTGCGCAATATCATGTAAGCAAAGTATTAAAATTTACACATAAAAACGTGATTAGGTGTGTTGTGTATGCTTTCCTCTTCTTTACGCAGAACATAAATATTTGAGAAGCACTTAATAACTACTACTAATTTGTTACGCTTCCAAAAACGAGTGAAATTGGAAAAAAGTACAATGTAGAGACCGAATGTTAGTTTTATGTGAATGTAATTAGAGTTATGTGATATATGTTTTATGACAATATTATCAAAACTATCAGACGCAAAATAAGCATCTAGTAGTCGAGGTGTCCACCAGCCCGTTTCACCATACCATACCACTACCAAAACCGTGTCAGCTACATACTTACCCCGTTAACACAAAATTAAAAAATAAAATAAAAAATGTCTTGAATATAGAAAATCACATTAAAAGCGGTAACAACACAACTTTTCTTTTACTCAGGTAATCAATAGGTTTAATGATATTTTTTATTTTCCGACTGTTTCGTCTACGTCGTTACTAACTCTATGTTTCGTTCTCTTTGACGTCACTTGAAATAAGAACCTTTCTCTGTTATAATTTTTGAATGCACTCGAGATTCAAATTATTCGAACACGTGCCTTTTGTACTATTACGAGTTAAGTTTGTATCTTTAACAACTTGCTATTAAGTTTCAAAATGTGACGCATCATTTGCGACCTATTTTGTCCTAATTCGTTAAAAAGAGTCAAACGATTTGAATTTTTATTATTCTGATGTTTATTGTCATTGGTGGGAATATATTTTTTTTGCAAAGCAGTACAATTTGCCCAATTTCTGGTTTAACTTAATAAATTTATAAAAATAGTATTGCGGGGCACACAGCGATAAAAAATATATACAGGAGAGCGTATGTAGGTTATCGACAATAAACACCTTTTTTATTTTTATATTTTAAGTAATTTAATGATGTTTTTATTTCAAGTTATTTTCAATTAACATGAAACATCTTTACTATAGGAAATGAAACTATTTTTCCGGATTTAAATTGCGTATATTGGTTTGTTTGAAAAAACATTATGTGTAACAATTGCGAAAACCTAAGAACTCGATATCTTTACTATACTTATATAGGTATAATGAGGTACTGTAGAGATCATATTTCAGTTTCCGCACATTGCATTTTCGGCAATAGACGGTAAATACAAGTCTAAGCCCATATTACTTTTGTGTATCTATCAATTTTTTGTGCAGTCGTGAACTATACATGATATCAGTAACATTTAATGACGTCAATGTGACGTCCTTACCTTGTACAGTCGACGGCACATCAAGCTTGACACTTTGGACTTTGGTGGGTCTTTTATACTCTCTACGCTAAGCCACTGAGCAGTAGAGGTCCTCGTGAAAGTGTTAGTCCAAGGAAGCAGTAACCACCTTACTTATTTCTGCCGACAATCAGTAATGGGAGCATTGCTGTGTTCCCGTTTAGAAGGGTAAATTATTTTTTTGATATAGTGTTATGTTATGTGATTGTGAGTTATGGAAAGCTACACTATTGTATTGGGAAGGTCCTGTAAAAATAGCTGTATGAATGGAATAAATGAATAAATAAATAAGTTAAAAAAAATGTATACAAAGATCGAACACTAGGAAAAAAATTCCTTCGATCCGGCTGGATTCTGCATTGCTGGATAGATGCTATGCCAACTAACCCACGGAACGAACCAACGGACCTTACGATATTTTTTGTGTTTGCGTAGATCTTTGTTTTTTTGGATTTTAACGACTTCTTAGCCGAAGCGCCATCTGTTGGTTTGATTGAAAAAACAAATATACGGGATTTAGATTCGAAAATATAGTTTCATTTTCTAAATATATTAATGCAATTGTACTTGAAACAACATTATTCAATAAAAATAAAAATAATGCGAAGTATCATTACTATTATTTATGACGACCATAATTATTCCTTGTATTTCAGTGTATTATTGTGACATCTATAATAATATGAAAACACGATTATATTCTATTGTATTGTTCTATTCGTGGAAAAGAAGAAAAATAAATAAATTATATGTATACTACGCTCCTGGGAAAAAAAAGAATCAGTGTGAACATTGAATGATTGTTTTTTTTCCTAAAATATTGCAATCCAAGTTTTGAAAAATAAAAAACTAGGCTAGTGTCTGTGCTAAAGCTTTTTTTAAAAAGCCGTTGTGCGTCGTAATATTCATAGTGGGGCTAACGCTTATATTCTCCACGCTGGGCATGCGCGTTGGAGATCATAAGGTACAGTCTTTTGCTCCGACAAAGACCGTAGTGCACTCTTAGGCTGCTACTAGTAGGACTATACGTGCAAAATTGATACCTAATTTTTCAATTTTTATACATTTTACATTACAGTGCAACACAGACAGCCTCTATTAATTGCCTGGTGTTTAGTATACTCTCCGCTTGCCGGTCTGATGCAGCAAGGGAATAGCCATAGATGACGCCTGAAAATCAGCAATGTTGTGTCTTTATCCTTTTTGTCCACACTACTGTTTTAATTGTCCGTTTGTATTTGTATATGTGTTTTGTGGATGAATAAATGTCTTTTTTTATATACAAATATTTGCAGTCGGTTTCGACTGCTAGCCTTTATCGCCCTGCGCCTTAGCTCAATGTGAATGTGGAACTGGAAGTACAGATGTTACTTGTAGCTTGTCACTGTATACAGAACATTTATGAGTCCAAGAGATGACTTTACTTTTTATTATTAACTGCCTCCATGGCCGAACGGTTACCATGCCAGACTGCTATGCAGAGGTCCCAGGTTCGATTCCCGGGCCGGGAGAAACATTTGTATGGCTTACATTTATTTGTCTCATGAGTTTGGGTGTAATTTGTAATTGTCTATTTGTGTGTTCATGGCACCCGCGACACAGGGTTTCCCTAATGCGGGGCTATGTCGAATGTGTGTTATTATTATCATTATTATTGGTGGAACTTCAAAGGCAAAAGCGCGTGCGGTCTGTGCTCTCATACAAATCCTAATACGCGCCGCCACGTATATCGGCCAGAGGCCGTCCAGACTCGCCCGTGGGAACGCATCCTTATAAAGTTCAGGGAATAAGTCTACCGGCAGGGAATTCCACTCCATAGCCGTTCGATATATAAACGTGGCAGCGTAACGCCTATGTGAATATTCACATCATAGCGTCGTCTTACAGTGAACACCTCGTATGTGATTTGTATGTAATTTTACAGTAATAAGGATGTGGCCTAATGTAGTAAATGCAATAATGTTTGTAGTTAGTATTGTAATTAATTAAATTATAGGTACCTCTTTCATATACCATATTACTTTAATAATATATTTATAGCAAGAAGTTTAGAAGTTGTTCTTGAACAAAAATCTATAAAAACGAACTACGTGAAAACGCGTATGAGAGGTTTTCACTCTAAGGCGACGATAGGCGAGGAATCCCACCGTTCGTCTAATTATCCGATGATCGAAAGCGGAAGGCGGAATTAAACCATGCAGTTCCCATTGTTCTTCTAATATATTATTTAGAATACCGATAAACAGGCAGCAAGGCTCTGCAGCTTCACCTCTATTAAATCTGAGTCACCTTTATGCTTCTTGGCAATCAACTGAATCCAATGTTATTCGATTAAGATTTATGTGTCCGGAATACAATGCAATATTACGTTATATTATTTCTTAGTTTTACATGCCTTCATTTACCTTTACAGTTTACGTGTTTACTTTAGTTTGAATTAGTAGTTTAGTTTATAGTTCGTCGTTTCATCATCGTTTAGTTATTTTTTAAACCACTCGTCTCAAACAGAGATCGTTGGCAAAATATATTTACCTAAATTCAGTAGCAGTAGATCTTCTTGTGAAAGAGTTCGTTCAGGGAAGTACTGTCACCTTATTTCTGCCGCCAAGCAGTAATGTCAGCATTGCTGTTTTCCGGTTTGGGATGGTAAAGGTGAAATTACAGACACATGCGACTTGTCAACTTATGTCTCAGGGTGACAACGCAGTGGCAGTGCCCCTCAGGTGTTTGCGTTTTAAAGCTCGGAGTGGCACTGCAACTGTTATGGACAGGCGTGTCGTTTAACACAAGGCCCTTTTGCAGGAAATGAAACTACTTTACGGATCTATTTATTTTTTTAAACGAACAAGCTTGACTGCGAATGCAGTCTCTCTTATATAGGACAAACGAAGTGAAGTATTTCTAGTCGCGTCAAAGGACATTTAGCTGATGTTAAACACCGTCGCGTTGTCTGCCGTTTGCAAGCATGACCGTACACATTCAATCTGGTTTGACAAACCCCAAGACCTTGCAAAAGAATTACGTTATCTACGCAGGATGCTACGAGAGGCCATTGAAAGTTAATAAAAAAATATTCTAATATCAACAGGAAATATGGTTTCTCCGTATCACTGGTTTGGGATCCAGTACTTTCTGTGATGGAAAATCCCAAGCAGACATAAGACTGCAGCAGTTATTAATTATTTTTTTAAATTTATTTCATTATTATGCAATAACAAAAAAAATCATATTGTTTAAATAAAATAAAATAAAATATTTTGTAAAAACAAACAAGTATGTAGAGTAAATAATAAGTTTTTTGGAAAATTAAAATAATATATAACTAATAATAACTTTTGTAACTATAACACATTCTTCATTACTTAATCTTATTGATTTAATTTTTATTTCTTTTGGTGTCTCCATCAATTACTATTTTTCTTATTATCCTATTGCATTAGTAACAATTTTGCGTAATGTATTTAAAAGATAACAACAATTATTATATATTTTGCACTCCCGCCTCTCCCATGGCCTAAAAGATTAATTTTATTATTA